CTCATAAGAACGTAATTTTGTGCTGTCGCTGGTAAACAAATGCGTTGCTTTGCACAAACAAACAAAAATCAAACGCATATATGAGCACCTTATTTTATAGCCTCCAGAGCGTCACAATAGCTGTTGGTAGTGCGCATGCGTCATAATTGTGTACTAGGCTATATTTTATACGTGTTTCACGTACAATATTGCCAGGCAGTTGGATATATGTAAAGTGCACAATTACATCAGGAGTGAATAATAGAGATAATATAATCTCTATTATTCACTCCTGATTACATGAAATCCAACTTAGCTGTTTTTAATATCAGTTAAAATATATGATAAAAACGTTTTTTTTAAACGAGTTAATGACAATTACGACTAATAAGTATGTATATTTGTGTACGCGCATGCGTGCGCGTGTGCGCGCGTATGTGCGTATGTAAATTTAGGTGTCTGTGCACTGTGTGCAGGAAATATTTATAAACAAAGTTATACTCTAATTACCTATAGGTTTAGCATCGTGAAAAGGTATATTTGATTATCAAAGGCTTACGAATGCATTGTAATTATTTTCTTCAATTCCCATTCAGTATCGAGCTCAAAGGACGCTCACTATTTGTAGGTAACGTATTCAATACCTAACGTTTTGGGTGCTTTCTTTTATTTTTAATACTTGTCAGACCGACGTAAACGTTGTTAAAAGAGCATAGAAGTTATTACGAGATCTGTATATCTATATCGTTTACATGCCTGCATGTACTGCATGTACCCTAGTCGCAATGGCAGTCCGGTTTTAATGCATTAATAAAATCTATAACTTAAATGCTTCTCTGTTCGTTCTCTTGGCACACAGCTGTACATATCGCATAGCTTTTCAATGCCATGTACTTTGTCTGTACATAGAGGATATAATAGTCATAGAGTTTCACGTATATTATACTTTGTACGTCCTGTAACAGTGGATCTGGAGCGAGTGCCCACTGAAAGCCCTACCTTATATTAAAGGCGGCCGTGTCATGCGAATTTCCGGCAAGTTCTCCGGTTCCCGTTTCACACAAAAACACAGTGGACCGGTCACCATGGCTACATCACTATAATATAAATTTATATCTATATTATCAAGAGCGGATAATACCTATATAATATATACCGGTATTATCCGCTCTTGATATTATAGGTTTTCTACATAACCAGTTTCACTTTTAGTGCTTTCTAAATGACATAACCAGTTTCACTTTTAGTGCTTTCTAAATGTGTTTAAAGGCATTTACCTTACGGGTACAATGCAGACTAGTGCACATTACTGCCGTGAAATACAAGAAAACAGATAAAACGACCCCTTACTGAAACAAACGGTGAAAGACGGTGTAGAATCTGACAAGGTAATTGTGCGAATGCTACCTTTGCCCGCCACCTGTAGGACGATGCGAATCGCAGGCGGTTTAAGGTGTGAATCGCCGGTAGATGGCGTTAATATACGTTACCGCCAAAGCATGATGAGAAAATGGCACTCTTTACACAAAATGTTACTCTGTAGTCTGTACATCAAATTTTTACAAATGAAATTTTATTCCTGCTATGCGATTATGTCATGACTGAATGCCATTTCCACTGAACATTTTCCAGTAGACCCAGATTCAACTCCAAATAGAGAGGTCGATCTTAATTTATCATTTGGTCTGCCACATGCACAGACGCGCGCGCACACACTCGCGCGCAAACACATACGCACGAGTACATTCACGATTAACAATATTATTTAGAGTAATTTCCCGTGCGAATTTTTACGTAGTGTTGTTTATTTAAGTCAATGGTTTTATTTGCTATATTATAGACCAGGGCGAATATATGAGAGTAAACGTTTATACGGCTGGCGGGACAACAACTGTAGAATCTTCTATTTATAGACAAGAGTAAAAAAACGCCTACGAATATCTCTATTCTGTTACCGCGCTTGATTTTCAACTTTGAACTATTGCTTGCAGTTTACAAGTTACAGTTGTTTGCAAGTTATATGGTGCAATAATAGCAACAATCGAAGCGGCGTAAATTGCACTACATGACGGCGTGTTGGGGCCATGCACCCTGCACATACATATTCGTGTTATCACGAGCTAACGGTACCTGCATAACATAATAATATGCATAATACCTATTATACATAATATAATATAATATAAAAATACCTATAATAGATGTACTAATATAATATAATATAATAATACCTAAAAAAAAGCATCAATAGCTCTTGGTGATATATGATCGCGGCGGAGCGGAGTTTGTGTGCCCACGCATTAAACCATAACCATCAGAGCCACAGGTATACGGGTAAATACCCAAGATCGACATTTGCCACTTCACATCTATTGATGAATGCAACACATCGCAACTCCAATTTCAACCACTCACGGCACAGCTAAGCGGGAAAAAAATTAACGAACAATATTAATAACAATTGTGACAACGAGCACAGTAGATATACGTCGCGCGAGGTCCGGTCCGAGTATCGACTCATTCAAACCTCACAGTTGCAAAGATGAAAGTTGAGTTGGCGCGCGCCGTCGTAACAGGTGGGACCAGTCGGGGCCCCCGGGTCGTGGGTCGAGGCCCGGTTTCGAAGAACTTAAGGCGCACGTGACCGACCGCTCGTTCGTTCACTGGGTTAGCGGCACACGATGCGACAGGCGACCGAAAGACGCGCGCACGCGCGCACCTTTGGAGCTCCTCTCCCACTACTGGTTCCAACAAGTCTCGCCTCTGTGAACTCGGAAACTACAAAGGCCCATTGGCTGCGGTAATAGCGGTTCTCGCAAACAGTTGCGTCTGGGCGCATAACACTCCGGACGCGAAGCTCCTGAGGGCGACGGAGCACGCCAACACACGCAACACACCACACATCACACACACGACGCGCGACAGCCAGCAATCACACGCTAACACACAAGCCGCGTGATCAACCAGTTCTGTGTGTGGCGTGGTGAGAGAAGGGGAGAGCGGAGAGCGGAGAGCGAGAGAGGCAGCTAGTGTGGCAGGAGCGAGGAGGCACGTGCGTACGTACGCCAGACTGCCTAACTACGGAGAAACTCACGACACAGCTTTTATCAGACAACAGCTGTGAGGCAGCTCGCGCCGCGACTGCCCGGACCCATGCGGCTACTGGCACCGCCCAGCTACTGACGCGATGTAAGATAGGCGATCAGCTTCTAATCACCGAGTGCACGCTCTACCAAAAAAACTGCTCTCCAGGCAGCATTAATTGCAGAGAGAAGAGAGAGAGATATGAGAGAGAGAGAGAGAGAGAGAGAGAGATGGAGGGAGGAGAGAGAGAAGAAGAGTAAAGCCCAGAGAGACCGGAGAGACAGAACTTCAATCAACGGAATATTACCAATCCATCTTCCCAGTGAGGTGAGGTAAACATAGACTTTACTGTATTTGCACGAGCATTGATTACGCACGTCTATGTGGATAGTTGTGCACATCGATTAGACGAAAGGCACACACGCCATAGGTGATTTCACAGTGCCACAGTGCCGTACAATTATTCACATCGTATATACCAGGCGGCACAGCGCTAAGTCGGCTAACAAGACGCCGAAGGCTAAACGATATTTGTCATAAGCGCTAGACATCTGTATTTAGTTTTAGGACGCCTGTGCGTGTAGGCTGATGTGTGGCGGTGGGTGGCCGGGTGTGTGTTGTGTGTGTGTGTGTGTGTGTGTGTGTGTGTGTGTGGTGCGTGTAGTGTGGTGGTATGTGTGTCGCGGCCCGACAAGCCGGGGCGCGTCTGGTAGATGCTGTGTACAAGTGCAGTGTACGTGTGTGCATGGTGTGTTGGTGCGTGCGTGTCTGTATTGTACGTGTGGTGCGTGGTGTGGCTGTGGTCGGGCGTGTGTGCGCGCTGCTGATATAATTATAGGAGACGAGTGACACCGGCTGATAGTTGCCGGAGGTTACACCCGTTGTTGTGATTACTGTGGCGAGGAAAACCGTTCGGGTTTGTTGCCCCGCGTCGTGCTCGAGCAGGCGTCCCTGCACGATCACCCAACACCAGCTGTGCTGCTGCAGGCGCGAGGATCAGCTGAGCTCCGGCCGCTGCAACATTACGAGAACCAGGTAAGCGGGTTATG